TTCTCAGATATCCTCCAGGTTCACACCCACACACTTTTTTGGTTCCTTCCTTCCTTCACCCTTCACCTCCACCCCATTTGCTGTAGGAGGCTCTCTCTTTCTCTCTCTGCCTACAGGGCCCATCAACACTAAATGGAATGTTGGCTGGGGAAACTTCTTCTGTGATGTGAGGTCTTCTCCCTTTATCTCACTCGGGTCCTGTGTGTGCTTCTTCCATGCATTCCTAGCTCCTTCTGACTCCACTTGAATACCTTTCAATCTGCTAGCACTAGATCAATTGGTTGAGTGACTACCTATGATCCTTTCCTCTTATATCATCCAGCAATTACTCCTTTCTGGGGTATTCATGAACATGTGGGACTTGCTTACTTTGATATCTATCCCTAGCCATCTGTCTCCATTTTAAAATGTCACTGACTGTTTTTCTCCAAGATGACTTTTGCATCCTTACTTGTTGATCCCATGCGTACTTTTCCCACTCTGCCTTTTTCTGTTTAGATGTCTAGGCCAGGATATTAAAAAAAAAATAGAATGAGGTTTCTAAGTATTTATTTGGCCACTTAAATAATGGACTGATTTTTCAAAAGTGCTGAGTAAATAGCTCTCATGGAAGCTCTGATACTGTGATAAGGGGTATGGTATATAAGAAACCAGCTAGATAGAGAGTATGATGGGGCAGAACTCTGGTTTATTTAAAATGCTCAGTCCTTCAATAAATCACCCTACTTCTAGATGTACTAAGTGAATGGCTACTATTCTCAACTTTCCAAAGCAATGAAGCAGTCTCTCTCATACCACATCTATTCCTATCAGTTACTCACCTTTAGCGTGTTCCTCTGATTATAAAATATTAATTCCTAGCTCCTACATTCAGTATGTGTATCCAATGAACTGTGACAGAAAACAGTGATAACAGCCACCACAGACCTGTCTTCTTCCATATTGTGGTGATATGTACTACAAACATGTCTAGTCTACCAAGTTATACAATACATGTTAATACAAACATGTCTACCAAATTATAGTAATAATGTAATTTAGTCCTTGTCCTTTTCCACACTGTCTTGGGTTTTTGTTATTTTGGCAAGAATGCTTGTAAACTCTCAAAGGCTGAAGAGTTCATTTTGAAAGCAGACAAACTGAATTAGGAAATGTAAACTGAGGAATTTCTGTGGAAATCTAATGCTAAACAAATTCTACTTTCTCCACCCAGAGTGATTGTGAGGATGCTCTCAGGGTTTCATCATAATGCAGGTTTTCAGTCTTTCAGCTGAAGACAGATATTCTAGCAAACAAAGAGCTCACATTTTGATAAGGTCTTGTATACTGATGTCTATAGAAAACACTTGACTTTGCTGTGGAGATAACATTCTTTGGGGATGGATAAACCATTAAAGCTATTCTTTTTGGGGCTTTCATTGGAAAGATTTGATCTATATTTTACTTTATGCTTGGGGCCATATTTTTCTGTGACCTAAGTGGCACTATGAAAGTCTTGGGTATAGTTGCAAAATGTGGCTTCATTGACATGGCCAGATGATGCCCATAGCCTGAAGGGTAGGAGGAACAGGATGGCATATTTTATAGTGGAGATGGATGTAAAATCTTTAAATAGCTTTTTGGCTTTTTGTTTTGTTTTTCCTGCTGTTTTTAATAGCCTCATTCATTACAATTCTTATGATGCTGGGAGCTTTTTGTGAAATGGGTTTTTGTGTGTGTCCCATGGATAGGAGAATGATGTATTTGAAGATTGTTTTCAGGAGCAAAAGAAACAAATGTATCCTGAATGGCTAGTCTTCTCTATTTGTTTAAGTACAAACTGAATGCTACATTAAAAGAACATTATTAAGGTTGCAAAGCAAAGCGTTCATAAGTTAGGAAATGTCAGAATGAAGGTTACCTCTCTAATGTAAATTTGGCCTCTTCATGTATATGCATTATCAAAGCAGTCTTTCATTACACAATTATGTACCATTTTAGTTGGGGAACTCTAGGAAATCTGTACAGAGAATGTGCAAATTGAGATTTTTTTTTAAAAGGTTTTGGCAAATTAGGGTGGGTTTTCTTGGGCACGTCTCTAACACAAAGGCCACATCCCTCCCTGTCACGTTTTAAGTGCCAGCTCCAAAGCATGGATGTACTCAAACATTTCAAAGATCATTTTGCAAAAAGAACACATTGTACCTGGAAGTGATTGTGACACTTAGATTGAAAATTTTTAAATAGTCATCCTAAGTCAGATACCAAGAAGAGAAAGGGACATGTCTAATATTGGGAAGAGACAGGCAGCATTAATATACAGCATGACCAGTCCTATCTAAATTAAAAATTAAAAATCAAAATGTCTCAAAAGAAGACTAAAGGACATCCAGGATGCATGTCAATGTCTTTTTCCAGTAGACTGACGGATACAGCCCCTTTTTGTGGTTAAATAATCTATGGCAATTGTAAAATAGGGTATGCTTCATCAAAGATCTTTGTTTCTATTAACGCTTTTATCTGCCCACTCTGAGGATGCAGGAAATATGGGCCACACTATAAATCCATGAGCCTGGAACACAGAAAGCTATGAACACAAATATTTTGATAAATACTAAGTACTATCAAGTACTGCTGTGAAATTCTGTAGTGTAACATTAGTCCTCAGCTTTCCTGCAGATAAATGAAATGTCAGTGGTACAAAAGAAGAAAAGTCTCCTTGTCAACCCCAGTTTAAAGGTAGTCAACTTAGTCTTTTGAGTATTGGGGAATATTGTTATTTAGTCCTTTATGGGAAAGACAGTTTCAAGTAAATCCAAATTAAAGGAGAATGACAAATGCTGGAAAGTGCTACAAGGACACCAGACTTGCTTGTTCCTTACCCCCTCTTCCACCCTACAGGTATATACGAAAATGTATATATACTATATATACACAAGACTTCATGACATCAAAGAATCTAGTTCTGTTGCTTGGGTAATCTATAAGATTATATTGACCATAACATAGCAAGCGCATGCCAGACACTTGAACCCTGAAAAGGAGTCAGTCATAGGCCATGCCATATTTAAACACAGCTAGTAGTGTAGTTAGCAGCCAGCATGTATTTGAACAAATATGCATTGTTGTTACAATTGAAACCACATGCTGAGTAATATAACATAGGTGCAACTTGCTTGAGAATGTGTGGACAGTTGGAAACGTAAATGTATTTTTTTATTTATGTTATGTCTGTGTGTCTCAGGACTCCCTTACTCTGTTTTCTTAGTGAAACTCATACCGATCAGCCACACAGGATTGATGAAGCAGGGCACTGATTGACCAGGCCTGTTCCAGCTTCAGGGATTATGGAAGAATTGGATCTGAACTTTCTTACGGGTTCACCAAGCATAAGATTTCAGCTACCGCAAGAAGTCGTCAAGGAGTATTTTATATTAACCCACCTCAGACCTGAGCTTACCTATGGGGCTAAACCACAGCTTGCTGAGCCAAGTGTGTCTGAATACAAACTCATTTCAGTGACTGTTTATTACTCTATGGAAAATGTCAGCTGTATAAGATTCTATTGAGAGATCACCACCGAACTAAACTTTTCATGCTTCATTTAGTTTGAAATAACACATGCTCTTTCCTCCAAGTTTAAGGTCTTCGGAGACAGTGCATCTATCCCTTGTTTATTGAATTCAGGTTAAATGCATTTTAAATTTTCGTCATAGAATAAGCAAAATGAGATTTAGAAAGCAAGGGTATGATTGATTTATTTAATTATTCTTTTATTCTGTAAACATTAATGGTGCAGAAGCTCTCTCACAGATAACCTTTACAAGAACAAACACAAGGCTTTTTACCACAGACCTGTCAGGGTGGATGCCTCTGTGGACTGTCAGTCTGTGGGGGCAGGGAGTTATTGTTTCTTTATAAATACCTGTAAGACACGTCTCATACTGCAGTGCTATACAAATAAATAACAATAATAATAATTAAACAGAACTGTCACTGATTTCAAAAGTAATGAGAGAGACAAGGCTTTCTGCCCTGGGAGTTCAATGTTTTGTCTGTGTCTCTGTGTGTGTGGTAGTAGCGGGAACATCTGTGTATTGGACTTGCAGATGGAGTGGAATGGAATTTTCCTCCTCAGAAAAAGTATTGGGCTGTGTCTAGACTGGCAAGTTTTTCCGCAAAATCATCTGCTTTTGTGGAAAAACTTGTCAGCTGTCTACACTGGCCGCTTGAATTTCCGCAAAAGCACTGACGATCTCATGTAAGATTGTCAGTGCTTTTGCGGAAATACTATGCTGCTCCCATTCGGGCAAAAGTCTTTTTCCGAAAAACTTTTGTGCAAAAGGGCCAGTGTAGACAGCAGAGATTTGTTTTCCGCAAAAAAGCCCCGATCGCGAAAATGGCGATCGGGGCTTTTTCGCAGAAAAGCGCGTCTAGATTGGTCACGGACGCTTTTCCTCAAAAAGTGCTTTTGCGGAAAAGCTTCCTGCCAATCTAGACGCGCTTTTCCGAAAATGCTTTTAACGGAAAACTTTTCTGTTAAAAGCATTTCTGGAAAATCATGCCAGTGTAGACGTAGCCTTGATGTTGTTATAAGTACCATTCTAGCTTGGCTGGCAAGACACCAAGAGGACAACATTGCTCATGCTAGTCCACTTGGCATGAATTACACCTGCTGGAACTGTATACAAGACTAAACACCCAGCTGAACTATTATCCCCTTGGTTGCGGCATTTTGAGTTGATGAGAGGGCAGTGATGTGGCTTTTAAGAGCCCAGTGAGAGAGGATGATTATAGTGGTCAGGGCTGGAGTTTTCTCATTGTGGGGACCACACACACTGTTGGGTCAACTTTATTGTGTTTTTGGCTCCACAAATGTTTTTCTAGTTATACATTTGAAAACAAGCTAGCACAGTCCAGTGATTGAATACTGGCCATTGATTCAGAGAGTGAGCATGCGACTTGCCTTTAAACCAAATGAACCTCATATTAACAATACCTCTTTCTGTTCTTTTTCACAGCTGAGTTATCCCATTCCTTCTACATCTTCCTGGGCTGCAACCTTTGCACTCACACGGTCACAAATCTAGGGGGAAGGTAACTGGAGATTTGCTTTCTCAGAGTGCTACCACCATTAAGGTGAGTTTGATGTGTTGATGTATCAGAATCCCTGTAGTTTTGGCATGTTAAGTGTGTTACTTGAACAATATCCCTCTTTGGGAAGAGGATTCTTAACTTCTAGAAAAATATGGTAGTGATTATTATTAGTTATGGACAGTGGCATAAGGAAGCCACAATGACCTGATTTAACGAGTGAAGAGGAAAAGTAACCAAGTGAAATTGAGTGAGAATGGGTTTATAGCTGAGGCTTTGATTCTAAATGTTGGCTTTAGGATTCCACTATTCCCTGTAACTGAGAATGAAAGTTTAAAGTATTAGTGTTGTTTCACAGGTTAAAAGACAACTGGCTTGTTTAGTTTCCCTATGCTCAAACCAAAACTTGAGATCACCTGAAGATTAATCACCTTATAAGTTTGAAAGAAATGTCAGTATTACACACAGTTGCAAAACCAGGGAGATAGAGTAATGCTAAAGACTAAGAATTATAGCAATCTTTATGAAGATTGTCGGAGAACTAATATGTAAGTACCACTTTACTTCTGAAAGTATAAATAGCAAATGGATAGTGAGTAATTGGTGACAGTGTGCCCTGTTGAGCAGTGACCTTCAACCTATGGCTTATAAATCTCACCGGGCTCTTTGCTGTCCTAATTTTGGTCCTTATGAGCTTCCACCAAGTATCTCATTAGCTTGAGGATGCTGCTCATTGTACTTGCTCCATGCAGAATGAGATGAGCACTGAAAAGCCTTGTTATACACACTTGAAACAGATTGCTGAGCAAATAGGTATGATGGTATATATAATCCTACCCTCCAGGATAGTGGAAACCATGTCCAGAATGGGGAAGAGAAGAGACAAGATACCACATTTCTTCCCAAGTAGTTAAGATTGGGGGAGAAGAGGGAATGCAGATTCTATATTGGCAGTATTTTTACACGTCCTCCCTTCCCATATCTGTATATTATTTCCAGTTCAAGAGTGCAGTGGAGATTTTTTCAGGATACTTGGCTGTGTTTTCTGGGCTTTGTTTAGCTGATAGACAGAAGTCATGCTGTTATGCTTTTGTCACTGGTCAACTAAAGGGTAGGGAGAGGAACAGAGTTACTGTTTGTCAAGTAATTACAGTATACTTGGCACTCTGTGCAAAGCACAGATAGCAAGGCAGTATCTGCCCTGGAGAAGTCTAGTTTATAAAAGGTCACAGAAAGACAAGTTGCACAGGGTGATCCAAAGAAAGGGGTTACATTAGATATTTTTAATTCCTTAATTTATTATTTTTCTTTTGCACATACTTGTGGGATTTTCAGAAAAAGTGAGCCTTTGGCAAGGACTTGAAAGAACAGAAATTAAAGGTTTGCGGACTGGGATAGTGTGGTGTGATAAGGCAGCACAAAAGGAGGCATGAAGACATTAGTGAGAGAGGGAAACAAAATGGTGCAGAGGCAGATATTACTGGAATGAAGGAGACAACGTGGGAATGTTGTAGGAAACAACAGGTGTGGTATAGGCTAGGACTGAGATATGCAGAAACTTGAAGAGGAGGATGAGATGTTTTCATTAAATTTGGTGGACAAGGAGAAGTCAATTGAACAGTTCAGAGAAAGGAACAACATGATGTAATTTATGGCCAAGAAAGAGAATTTTGGTTGCAGCATTTTGAATTGATGAGAAGGCAGTGATGAGTCCTGAGAGAAGGAGAATACAGTGGTCCGGCCTGGAGATGGCAAGGCATGGTTGAATACTTTAGCTATTGAGATGGGAGAAAAAGTTGTATTTTTGGAAGAAGTGACAAAATATACTGTCTAGCTATCTGTGGTGAGCAGAGGGAATAGTCAAAGGAGATACCAAGATTATGAATTCTAGATAGGAGAAAGGTAGTGCTGTCAACAGCCAGAGAAAATGAAGAAGAAAGGAAAAAATAACTAGCTTAGTTTTAGACATGTTGACATTGAGCTGTGGAGGGGCCATCCAAGATGGTATGTCACACAGACCATTAGGGAAGGAGAAGTATAAATATGAATTTTTAACAACATGAGAGATGGGGTGAGTGTAAAGGATGAAGAAAAGGGGAGTCCAAGACAGAAAACTCTGGGCATCTCCCACAGATAGACAAGGATTTGACAAAAGAGACTGAAAAAAGCTTTTGGTTGGGTTTCAGTAGTAGTCATTTCAACTGCTGCTGTCCTATCCAGTTAAAAATAATCTAGTTCGTAAATTAGTTCTTGCTCAAAATTGACATGTGCCTTTTGTTCTTTTGTTCTTTCATTCTCCCTCTGTTAATTCAGACCAAGTGCAACAGAAATGTACATATTTGTAGGGCTGTCAAATGTTTTAAAAATTACATCAGTCACGAGATTAAAAATAGTTGTGATTAATTGCAGTTTTAATCAAGTTGTTACAATAGAATACTAATTATTTAATAAATATTCAAATATTTTGATGTATTTTTACATTTTCAAATATATTGTTTTGTATTACAATGAAGAATACAAAGTATATAAAGCTTACCTTATATTATTTTTATTACAAATCATTGTACTGTTAAAAAGATAAATAGTATTTTTCAATTGACCTCACACAAGAACTGCAGAGCAGCCAGTTTATCATGAAAGTTCAACTGAGGCCAGGTGTACACTAGACCCTGCAGGCTCAGCTTATGGCACACAACTCCAGTTTCATAGAATACATAGGTGGAGTCGGCTTACATTAAGCTGAACTTGGTGGTGTCTTTATAGCGAAAGGCCAATGGGAACAAGTGCTCCCATTGGTTTCCCTTATTTCTCACAAGAACAGGAGCACTGAATGCTGTCAGGGTACCTTCTGAGTTCAATTTAGCCGGTCTTAACTAGACTGGCTAAATTGAACTCTGGAAGATCTATCACGGCAGTGGCAATCTTCTGCCGAGTGAATTGTTTTAAAAAACAAAATAGTGTAAAATTTTAGAACCTACAAGTTGAAGCATGAAGAGGTATATGAATGTTTAGTATACATAGCACATAAATACTTTGCAATGTTGGCTACACTGCTGCTATGTAAATGCCTGCTTTCATTTCCAGGTGACATGTAAATAAGTAATAGGTAGCATTATTTCTGATAAACAGAAACAAACTTGCTTGTTTTAGTGATTGGCTGAACAAGAAGTAGGACTGACTGGACTTTTAGACTCTAAAGTTTTGTTGTCGAGCGCAGTTATGTTAAAATAATTCTACATTTGTAAATTGCACTTTTATGATAGAGATTGCTCTGCTGTACTTGTATGGAGTCAGTTATTGTAAAAAAATATCCAAAATATTTATAATAAATTTAAACTGGTATTCTGTTAGGGTATGTCTACATATCAAAGTTATTTCGAAATAACAGCCGTTATTTTGAATTAACTTTAATAGTGTCTATACAGGCAAACTGCTATTTCAAAATAAAATCAAAATAGCGGGGCACTTAATTCAAATTAGTTAAACCTCATTGTACAAGGAATAATGCCAAATTCGAAATAGCTAATTTGAAATAAGTGCTGTGTAGATGCTTATTTTTGAAATAGGGGGCCTCAAGCCCTTCCCAGAGAGTCCTGGTGGCCACTCTGGGCCAAACCAGGAAAAGTCCTCTCCCCTCCCCCAGCCCCAGAGCCCTTAAAGGGGTAGCCTCTGGCCACACTGCATGTGCCAGCTACAGTCCTGCCAGCCCAGAGCCAGCAGTCACTGCCCCTGACACAGTGGCCCTAAGATGAGCCAGACAGCTAGATCCAGCCCTTTCCTGCCTCCTTTCCCCAGTCTCCCCAGAGTTTCATACCCTCCCCCAGTTTTGTTAAATAAACAGAGTTTATATTTTTGAAAATACGTGTATTTTATTTGACATCAGGAAGGGGGGCTAGGGAGGGGTACGTGGAAGGATGTGAGGGCAGAATAAGGCACAAGGCGCCAGTGGGGCATGCCAGAGAGACTTCACTCCTCCTCTGTCTGGAAGCTCTCCCGCAGGGCCTCCCGGATACTGGTAGCCCCCCGATGGGCCTCCCAGCTGGCAGCCGTGCAGGGCTGCATGTACAGGCGAGCCAAGTGGTTGGCCTCTGCCATCCAGGCTGGCAGGAAAGCCTGCCTCACACTGAGAGATCGAGGTGGGTGAGGAGGCATCTAAATCTGGCCATCAGCCGGCCAAAGGCTCCCTCCACCACAATGCGGGCCCTGCTGAGCCTAGCATTAAAGGCCTTCCAGGAGGGGTTGAGGTGTCCTGTGTAGGGCTTCATGAGCCAGGGTTTTAGTGGGTAGGCCGCATCCTACACCAGACAGACAGGCATGTTCTCGTCCCCGACCCTGATGTGGCGGTCGGGGACAAAGGTCCCGGCAGGCAGCCTTTGGCACACGGAGGAGTTGCAGTACACCCGCATGTCATGTGCTTTGCCAGACCAGCCCACGTTGATGTCCAGGAAGCGGCCCCGGTGGTCAGACATGACCTGCAGGATGACCGAGAAGTATCCCTTCCGGCTAATGTAGAGGGAGGCCTGATGGTCTGGGGCATGGATGGGGATGTGTGTCCCGTTGATTGCCCCGCCACAGTTGGGGAAGCCCAGGGCACCAAACCCCTCAATGACTGTGTCCACATTGGTGCGGCGGATGACTCTGCAGAGCAGCACTCTATTGATGGCCTTGATCACCTGCAGAGGGGCACACAAAACCATGAAAATCACTGGGGTGCCAGGATGGTTAACAGTGCTCTTTCCCCACCACTGCCCCACGCCCCCACTCCCTAGGAGCAATTCCCGCCCCCCCCCCACCTTTATGGCAC